TCTTCACACATTTAGGCTTTCCCTTTTTTCTTCTCCTTTTTCTCTTCCTTCCTCTCTATGGGCTTGAACTAATGGATTGAGTCTTCTTCCTCTTTTTCTTTCTTATTTATTTTCTTTCTCTTTTTGGGCCAATCTTCTTTTCTATGGCAGAGCTTCTAGTTACAAATTATAATATTTTCTTATCTCTCATTCTCTTCTTTTAAAAAAAGAAAGTTTACTTTGACTTCTTTATTTTCTAATTTTTTAAAAAAAATTTTACTTATTTTCATTCACTATAAATAGAATATAAATAAAAAATAAAATAATACAAGAAATAGTAAAAACGCAAATGATAAAATAATAATAACAACAACAACAATAAGAATAATATTAATAGTAATAAAATAATAATAATAGTAGTAGTCGTAATAATAATAATAATAATAATAATATAAAATTAGAAAAAATTAAATTTTATTTTAATCTTCCACAATTACTGCTTAATAAAATTTTATTTTCATTATTGTTGTTATCATATTACATTTTTTGCTATTATTTGTGATCAAATACAATTGGAGTTTGACATCTTGATACAATCAATTAAAGTAGTTGTAAGTCAACCAATTGATCCATCATGTGAGAAATCTGGTTAACTCTATATATGACATCTTTCTTAATTTTGGTGGATTTTTAAGTACTTGATATCATTCCTTATAATATATTGTTTGGAAGCCGATGGACTCATGTGATAACTATGGTCTTGTCAACCTTGCCAGCATATTTGATCTTTATAGAATTACTCAAAGAGTTCAAATATTGATTTATTGAAATTAAGATTATAATTTTAGTTCTTTAAATCTTCTTCTTAAGTGAATAGATCAAATTTGCAGAACTTTATTAGAGCGAGAGTTACTGTTAGACCCGGCCCCGAAAATTTGGTTTGAGATAATTTAATATTAATAAGAAAAGTGAATTAAAATAATTTTAATTTTAATTTTTTAAGAATTTTTGATGAAAATTAGGTTTTGGATGTATTTGAAATATTTTCAAAAAATTAGAGCTAAAGTATAAATAAGGGAGGACCTATTTGAAAAAAAATCTGAAAAACTGGGGTAAAAATAAAAATTTTAAAAGTTTGGCCATGTGGACCACCACGTTAGCAACGCAGCCAGTCTCCACGCGTCGCGTGGAAGACACGTGGACACACGTCCATGAAGGAGGCCACGCGGGCGATCCTCGTGTCAGCGGATCCAATGGCCCATATCGCATCTTGTGCGCACAGGCGGCCCGGATCCGTTTCTTCTTCAGGTGCGATTATACTGCTGAATTTGATCGCAATGGATAACTTAGAGTCGCACATGGATCGACCTAAACGGGTCTCGAATCGAATGACTCTCCTTGCTCCATGTTGAAGCGAATAGACAGTTAGGATCAGGGGAAGAGAGGTATTTAAACCTCTCTTCAGTCGACTCCCAAAACCCTAGTCGACACCCTTGACCGGAGAAGAAGAAGGAAGGCAATTGGAGGAAAGCTCAGTCGTCGAAGAAACACTGTCACCGCCGCACCGGAGTCACCGTCGACGACGAAAAAGGTAAAATTTTTCTCTTTCCATTTAGAATTGAATTTCGACCCTCTCCACATCCATATCGGAGCCAAAAGGGCAATGAGTGAGCCGAAAAATGTGAACGGAGCTCGGTCAAGCCGCTGTAGTCGCAAACCGAAAACCTCTCTGTTGACCCCATTCACATTTTTCGTTTTCATGCAAAATCGGCCAAAACTGATTGAAAACGGCCAGGCTAAGAGGAAATACTGTCGTGGGCGGCGGAGCCAGCGTTGGAGCACGACGCCACTACTGCACCGAAATCCTAAACCGGTTGAAAAAGTTTAAAAATACTTATTTTGGCCTTTTTGGGGTATTTTGAAATACGCGACGCTATTTTTAATATCTTCAAAAAAAATTTAAGAAACTCGGGAACCGTCAAGAGACACAGTGAAAAGAATGATGTTTCGAACACCGATCCTGGGTAAGAATCCCTCACCGCTCTGTTATGGTAAATTAAAGTTTAAATAATTAATAACAAAGTGTTTTGTAAAAATTAGAACACCCTAAAATTAATTACAGGTCACAAGTAGAATCGGTAACAGGTTAATACAAAATTACCTATTTTATCGATATTGTTCAATTATTGCGAGACTGTTATTTTTTGTTTAGTGCATGCACTTTAAATTCGTAGGTTTAATTGTCTTCTCGTTTATTAATTTACTTAACTGTTTATCCCTATCATTGATTAGTTTTGAAATAAATGTTTGATTATGTTTCTCTCTAAATGTTCAATTTTAAACTATATACTCTACTAATTCATCGTTTTATTTCTCCTGTAATCATGAAATAGGATTGTAGTTATAATTGGTGGGTAGTGAATGATGTGAACGTGCTTGTAAAAGGGCTTATCGGGTACCCTAAGGTTTTGTGTACGGACCTGGTGCATAGAAAAAATCCTACCGTGGACAATTCCTTAATCGAATGGGGCTAAGAAATCCAATACCGGAAGGTATTAGGAGGTATAAATCACTCTCATACTGAATGAGATATCGAGGTGGTGGTATGTTTAGCGCCCATTATCGGATGTGGTATGAGAATTGCCAATTGATTGATAATTTGGATATTGGGTTCATGCGCAGGGAGATATCCCTATGGATCTACAGAAGTACTGGTAAGTAGGTAAGAAGGTAAGTTTATTGTTATTGTTCATTCGAATATGTAATAAAAATATTATTTGGTTTGTTGTTTTCATATGTCAGTTCTTCAAATTCATAAGAGTAAGTATAAAATAACGATTTTTAAGTTAAACAAATTGATTTAAAAAAAATAATGGCTCTATTGATTGTTTGACGATTTTTACCAACATTTGATTTTTCGTATCGGTATTAGGTGTGATATTCTTACTGTACTACTGTAGTCATCCCCCTCATTTAACTATTTCATATTAGATCCTGAACTGCAAGAAAGTTGCGAATAAAAGTTGCTTCCTGCATCCAATCAGAATTGTCCTTTGGAGGTTAACTTCATAGGATCTTTAGTTACGTTTTTTTAAGTTCGTTACCGAAACTAAAAAAAAAAAAGACATCTCATACTTTATTGGACATTCC